CGCGTTGACTCGGGAACACTGGTGAGGCTCCTGGTTACGCCCAGACTTCCAGGACAGGACCGCCTGGCTTTCAGTGTTGAGCGCCAGCCGGAAGCTGGTTTGCGGGGCTCACTGTGGACCCCCGACAACCAGGGGCTAACGTCAGAGTTTCAGCAGGGCCGAAGGTTTCTGCTTCATTTGCCTGGTGGGAGAGAGAAAATGACAGACCCTGAAATGTGGAACAGCAGAGAAATTTGAAGAAATACTTGCTGCAGATTGGGTAAACACATAGAGAAATTAATGACGGGAAACACAAGATACCAGCAAGCATATCCATCATCATTTTATGTTGATACATGTTTTTTCAGTTTCCATTTACATCTGTTTTTTTCCATCTGGTATAGGGTATAGACTTCTAAAATGTGAAGTTCAATGAGTAAGTTTATATAACCAATACATGCTACTTCATCTTAAATAACATACCGTGTATCCTTTATAAAAGATGACACGCACCAGTCTTTACTATTTGTGAGAAGGGCGTCTCCTCCTTCCCATCACGGAGCCACAAGCCCTGGCGGTCCGCATCACCGCAGAAGGAAGTTCGGAGGACAGTGGCTCGGACTGCTCCGCGTGGACGTGTCTGCACTACACGACACCCAGGCTGACTTCAGCCTGTGGAGCCTTGGAAACGCAGCGAGGAAGCTGGGGTCCTCGTCCCGGCGGCACGGGCTGCCGCGGCGGGATCAGCTGGCCGCTGGGTCTGGGCGGCTGGCCAGCTTCCCCCGAGTCTTTCTCTGCAGACTCTGCTGTTCCAGGTGATAACTGGCCCCCGGAGCAGGCAGGACGGGAAGTGCTGCTCATGCACGATCCTCATCTTCAAAGAGCCCCGTGGGACGAGAGTTACTGTCCTGATATTGGGGACGAGGACGGGGACCTCCTGGGAGACTCGGCGACTCACCCTCCTCACGCAGCTGGAGTGTGGGAGTGCGGGGGCTGTCCTCGGGTTGCCGGGCTGCGTGTCTCCATGTCTCCAGGGGCCCCTTCTAAGCACCGCCCCACAGGGAGCCGGCCAACCACGCCAGGCTCACGGAGGCCTCTTCCTGCTTCCTGGGCAGAAGGAGTGTCGGAAGCATGGCTTTGCAGCATAAGGTTGTGTAAATCTAGACTCATTTCCCTGTGAGTCTCTGGAACCCAAGCCCCTGGGCCATCATGTGCCCACACCAGCTCAGAGCAAATGGCAGAGCCCAGACGCTCGCAGGAGGACGCAGCGTGACAGCGGAGTCAGAGCTGCACTACAAAACCCTCGTCCTGTTTGTCAAGGGCACAACCATCGTTAGGAAGGGCATCCTTCACTCGGCCATGTTTCCCAGCTGGTACTGGTTTCCTTGCGGATGCTGCTTTCGGAGTTTCAAGGAAACAGCCTCAAAGGAAGCAGCGCTGTTTCTCGTTCTGCGCCCAGGCTGGGAGAAGGGTGGAGCCCAGGCGCGCCCACATCAGGAAGAGGCGAATTGCTCGTGTGTCTGTGTGTGTGTTTTCACTTACAGTGACTACTGCATGCATAGAAATACATGTACTGCCCGCAGGGCTTACTGTCTCCTCTCCGTTCCCTGGGCGGCCCTGGTGGCCCTGGTAGCCCTGGTGGCATCAGCCCCTCCGTGTGTTGGGGGAGTCCTACTGACCACCTACGGAAGTTCCTCTTCGAGTTGCGTCTCAAAAATAGTTGGGGGAAGTGTATGTAAAATGCCGACCGATGAAATCGACACAAAAGCATAGCCGTCTCTTTTCCGAAAGTCCGTACATCCCGCGGCAGCGAGCCATACACTCAGCCAGAGAAGCAGGCTGGTGGGAGACGCCCGCGGCGCCCGGACACTGATTCCGGTCTGACACTCATCACCGGCTCCTTCAGCCGTGCCGTTAGTCTGCTGCCGCCTGGGGCGAGGGGGAGGGCACTCAGGTGCGCAGGTTCAGCTCCACCCTCTGCTCCTCCAGCGAGCATCCCACACCCAGGGCTCACGTGTGGGAGGAGAGAATAGAAGATTTGGAAGCAGGTGCGCCGCTCTTCGCACGGTGTGGGTGTGTGCATTTTCTAACACCGTCACAGAAGAGCATAAAATTCACTCAGAGAAACTCTTTTGCTGCCTTTAGGTTGCTGAGGAGCACGCCTGAGTCAGAATGCCCTTTTCCTCTGGCCTCACCGAACCCGCGAGATGCGGTGGGTGGGCTCTGGGCCCTGAGAGGTGTCTTTGGAGGGAGACTGACGGGGCTTGTCTTCTCGTGGCCACGCCCAGGGGCGGGACCCTCCGGCTGGACCCTCCCTGAGCTGCAGTCCCCCGGCCTGCAGGCGGGGAACTGGGATTCCCTGAGATCTGTGTGGGGCGACCTCGATACTTTGGGGGAATGGACGCTGTTTCAGCTGTTCGGGTCGTGGTCACAGTGACAGAGCCGCATCTGTGACGTGCTCTCTTCCATCACGACCGTTTCTACCCATCTTTTCCAGGTACCGGGGCTTTGGAGACACATGGCTCTAAATAAAGTAATTTGTGGAAATAACTGAAAAAGGCCTGGTGTTTAGTGTATGAGTTTCCAAAAACGCCCATTCACGCACTCGGTCCTTTGATTAGGATACTAATGACACTTCCAGCAATGAGCGTCTGCGTGGAGAGCCGCGGCCAAAGGGCCAGTTTTGGACACGCAGTCTCTCCTCACGCATGCTCATGAATGCAGTGTCCCAGGATTGGTGTCAGCACCCCTCCTGCTGCTGCGCTGCTGCTGGGAGCCCTTTCTAAACAGAACGTGGGGCGTGGCTTGGCCGTGGGGCGTGACGTGGCAAGGAAGTCCAGCCTCCTCCCTCCCTGGGCAGACCAAGGAGATGCGGAGCACCAAACTAGCAGCCCGAAGGAACTTGCGCTTTTCCAATATTAATCTCATTGAATCTTTCTCCATCATTCTTATTTTAAAACAAAGCACATGGGTTCTCACGAGGAAGCAAAGCCTTGCCCAAAGTCAATGGCAGGACTACACTTGGAAGCGATGATTTCCAGGCTGATCTGTCTGTGTGCGGGCTTGCTGTTCACCGGGCAGGGAGGCCTAGCACCTGGAATCTGTTGCAGTGAACCGAGAAAGATGCCTAAGTGTTTCCTCCGACACCAGGTGAACGTGCGGTGTCCTGTCTCCCCCAGCCTGTCGAGCTGCGTGGAGTTAGAAATGCAAACGGGAGAAACGGGGCCAGTTTCCCAGCTACTCAGAGTTAAAAATCATTGCACGTATCTCTCATTTTCCCTCTCGTTTTTAATGCTGCTTCTCCAGCCAGAGCTGTGGTGGGTTTTTTCATCTCTGTTATCTATCAGCTCCTGATTTCTCATGCAACTCTGGAGATTGGATGGGGTGTCTGTGCAGAAGCTGATGACTTATTCTAAGGACCTGCCTGCTGAAGTGACATTTCAGACACATTCAGTGTCACTCTCAGGGATAATGATTTACACTATTAATGCCATGATGAAGTTTTTAAAATCTCTGGTTTAATCTCCTCCAAAGGTTTCCCAAACCATCTCCTTAAAGAGAAGAAAAATTCATGTCCTGCACCCCCCCCCATGTGCTCCTGGAGTAAAAGTGCTTTATCACATCAGAAATGCGGTTCGGATTCCAGCCCGGTTCTGTTGTGTGCTACATGTATGAGCTCCAGGCCCCCTCACGCCTCGGCTCTGGTGGCCTCTGGGTGCCCAGGATCGGACATCACCGGCCAGTCTGCCTGCCAACCTCAAGTCCTTTCAGGGCAGGAGCTGTGTTCTCATGATGTGTATGCCCTGAGCTGGCGACCAGATGATGTTTAATGAGAATTTTATAAATACTTAATTCATGAAAACAATAATGCATAGGCTCACAGTTTGCTTAAATCTGGAAGAAGCCGGGAATCATGGCACGTGTATGCATATCTGTGGCGCCACCCCAAACCACCCCTAAAACCCAGGCTGCTGTGGAAGCCCCCCACGTGCAGCGCCATGCCCGGGGCCCCTTTCTGTGCACCCCTCGCGACGCCAGCTTCAACAAGTGCCATGGGACCTCTCTCTGCTCAATCCTACTTAACACCAATGACCGCCGTCAGGACAGATTGAGATCATTCACCTGAAACCCTCACCCACACACGGGGGGAGGAGACAGCAGGGCTCATGGACTCTCCGGTGGCAGTGAGCCGGCCCACACCTCAAATCCGGGAAGAGGTCATTAAAGCAAACGTCTACGTGACAAAGTGAAGGGGCTCCCCAGGCACACTCCTCGACAGGATGTGAATTTACCAGGGTGGAGCGAAAACCGTTTTAACAATAACATGTCATTTTGTTGGACATGTTTCTTACTCGAACTTGTTCCTAGTGGCAACCGCTCACTGGGTGACTGCAGCTGTGATCTGGGGTCTGTGGTGGCTTCTCTCACTCCCCAGACCTGTCCTCCTAGAGAGAGAGGGGACCATTCTTCGAGACAGGACCTAGGACTGTGCCTTATAAACACTGAAAACTACACACAAACTTTGAGCAGCTGTATAGGAGTGTGTATGTCTATTTGTATGTTGTGTATAGTATGTGCGTGTGTTTGTGCAGAGTCCTGCCTTTGTACACAAAGAGTGACAAGCGTGGTCACATGTAACAGAGTATGCAGTGAACAGAGTTTCTTCACCCTGACTGGCACTCTCCATAGAATGTTCTAGAGCGATGGAGACATTCTGTCTTTGCCATCCAGCATGGCGACCAGTGACCACATGCACCAGCAAGCAGAGTGTGGCGGAGGAACTGGATCGTAGATCTCACTTCATTTTAGGTGCTTTGAGTGTAAACAGCCCCATGGTGAGTGGCTGCCCTACGGCGCAGATGTGCAATCGCAGACGACAGGACCTCCCCCTGTGGGAGGAGGCCGAGTGGCACGTGCCCCGGCGGGTCCCGCAAAGGCCTCCCTCTGGGAAACTCGGCACAGTCCTGTGATGACCCAGGACTTCCCCGGCCAAACCCCGCTTCTTTGATTTCTGCCCACAGACCTTGAGAACTTCAAGACGAGGGCGCGGAGCACGGTGTCCGTCCGTCGCGGTCAGGGGATGGTGCTGCTGTGCGGGCCGCCTGCCCACGCCGGAGGTGAGTTCGGCCCCTGGCCTGGCCCTGACCGGGGTGGAGGGCGTGGTGTCGCTGGTACATGCCCGAGTGCCTCTGTGTCCAGGAGGGCTTGTCCCCAGTGCCTGCCGCTGTCGGGACTGGCAAACGTCAGGTGGTGCAGACGTCCCGCCCACTGCTTTCACCTGGTGCAGGGGGAGGCCCCGAGTTGGTGGGAGTCTGAATCCTGTTACTTGGTATAGGGACACAGGGACAATACCCTGGACCTTTTCCAGCGGGGTCAGGCTAAAATCTGGCCTCGCTTAGGTTCACACCGTTGTTGGCCCTGTACCAAATGACCCAGAACCAGTCCTGTGACCGCGGGCTCCAGGACCGCTCTGTCAGGATTCACGGTGGCTGGACCACTGGGCACGCACTTGACCTCAAGCCACTGGAAAGCCTGCTCCCGAGGCTCCAGTAACTCGCGTTCGCCTGGTTCTCACACTCACTCCCCAGGGGGCCAGCGGTGTGTGGTCCCGGGAAGTGTGTGGCACTTCCTGAGGGCGTCCTTCAGAACCTGGCCTTCTCTCTGACCCGCTCTGGTCTCAGACGCGTGGTGAGCCTGAGGCTGCAGGTGTGCAGGCGGGTAGAGGAGACGGGAGGAGGCCAGGACGGGGCTCGGAGCCCCGCACTGCAGCGAGTCTCCCTAGTGGGAGAGCTGCTTGGCCTGAGGACGGTTACCTGCACTGCACTGATCGCGCCCAGTGGAAAGGGGGCTGGAAAGGCAAGTATTTATTAAGATGTGTGAGGGCCCAGAAAATACGTTAATTCTGTGAATGAAGGAGAATGTGGAGCGAGGCTGTGGAGGCGGCTTGCAGCTCCAGCTAGAAGGACCCACTTGCCTGAGGCAAATTAGACACACAAGGAGGACTCAGGTGTGCAGGGCTCACGGGTGTGCAGGGCTCAGGTGTGAAGAGCTCACAGGTGTGCAGGGCTCAGGTGTGAAGAGCTCACAAGTGTGCAGGGCTCACAGGTGTGCAGGACTCAGGTGTGCAGGGCTCACAGGTGTGCAGGGCTCACTGGCAGTGCCATTTGCCAGGGTTCCACCTCAATGTGAGGTGACCAAGGGATAAACTCTCCTCTTAGAAGCTCTGGGTAAAGTCCAAGTTCATCTCAGGTATGCTCGTGGTGGCCTTAGTCCCCTGTTTGGCGTGACATGTGATTTAAACCAAAAGTACTTTACACGGAGCACTCGAAAACACCCCTTCGTTTTCGTCCTGTGTTCAAGCATTGTCGTTCTTGTGCCCCCATCTCCTGGCCCAGCCCCGGCGCCAGCAGGACTCAGTCGGCACAGTAAGTGAAGGCTCCTCTCCGAGCGCAGACTGAACAAGCAGGCGGGAGAGGCAGGTGCCCTTCAGGTCTGGGTCAAAGCCACGGAGTCCCGGGGCTGCTGGCTTCGAAGGCCTCAGGGGACGCAGACTGGAGGTCAGGGGTCTGTGTTCCGAGAAGTGGGCCCATTCTTTAGGGACCCACCGCATGTGAGGCCCGGGACACATGTGCCGTGACATGTGTCTTGTCACCAGCCACCATCCAGTGTCGGGCCAGTGCCCTCCACTTCACTACAGAGGCGAACGATGAAGGGAGATCTCTCAGACCCCTTTCACTTCTTTCTTTCTGCAGCACTGACTCAATAAAAACTAGACGTAGTTATTGCGTGCGTTTGCATTAGTGAAGTCCTGCCCCTGTGTCAGGGGCCCAAGTGGCTGGGTGGGTGTTCAGGTTACAGATAAGTTCACACAGGCTAACACACCCCTTCTTACTGTGAAATCTGATGGAAATGAGAACCGGGGATTCTGCTCATTTCTCCCCAGGCCACCGCCACAGCATCGAGGCTGAGGTACGGCAGTGACACCGAGCCCTAAACTCATAGGGTCGTTAAGGAGCAGGCACCCCGCCCTCTGGTATAACGACCCCCTGGGAAGGGTGAAGCCCCTGCCCTGCCGGGATCAGCCCCCAGAGAACCTGTGCCCTCCCCTGGGCACAGAGAGGTGCGTCCGACCCTCCCCAGACGTCCCCGAGGTGGGCCTGCAGCCCAGAACCCAGCCCGTGAGCTTTGCCCAGGCTCCTGATGGCCTCGCTGGAGAGAGGAAGGGAGTGGGAGCTCTCATCTGGACCCCGTTAGGGGATGTGTGCTGGGCCCACCAGGGGCCAGGTGGGCGGGCAGGGGCAGCAGAGCCGGAAGGGGCACTCGGAGGTGCCCCCCTCCCCGAGTCCCTCCAAACCCTCCAGAGCGACAGGTACAGCAGTGACGCTGTCGCTGCTGCTCCATACCAGTGTCACTTCAGTGGTGGCAGTCACTGCGAGCCACTAGCCATGTTACATGTTCAGACCCAGCACGTGGTGCCCCAGCTCCCCCCACAACATGCACATGGGGGAAGGAAGGGGGGGAGGAAGGGGATCGGCCTCTATTCTGGCCACAGGATACCGAGTGACAGCAGGCGTCTGTGCTCAGGGGGCCGTGTGTCCCGCTTCGAAGCCGGGCAGTGTCTGGCCTTTTCGGGGTCCCAGGGAACTAAGCAGCAGAGGGTCTGTCTTTCTTGAAAAGGATTTTGGTGAGCAGGCCTCCGTAGGACCCCCGAATCTCTGCACGTGACGTCCCTCTCATCTCAGGGTTGGCAGATGTGGCTCAGATGTGGTCACTGCAGACATTTCACCATTAAATCCTGACACAGACTTGGAGGCCTGGAAGTCGCTGCTGGGCTTGCACTGTCCTGAGGCCCAGAGTCCTCACCTGGGTCCCCTCCCCACTAGGCCAGCACCCCCAGGCACCCAGGGCACGCCCTGCACCAGGCCCCATTAGACGCTGAAGGCCTAAGGTCCCGGAGGCTCTCCCTGCTCCCCTGTGAGCGAGCACCAGACTGTTCCCCAGTGGCACCCTTGGGCACAGCTCGTCGGGGGGGCCTTCTGTCCCACCCGCCTCTCACCTCAGCAGGAGCCTTGCTCTCGGGGTACAGTTGTGGGCCGGGGTGCAGTTTGCAGGCAGGGGACCCGCCCAGGGCCTGTGCAAGCAGAATCTGGATTTTCACGAGATCGCCAAGTGACTCACCAGTACAGTAAGGTCAGGGAAGCCCTGAGCTAACCTGTGGGGCACACATGTGTGCACATATGTGCATGCACACATGCGTACACATGCATTACTGTGTACACACACCAACTCCACCCAGGCTGGCAGGACGATGAAGCACCACCAAGGCAACATGTTGAAGCCGTGGGTGCCCACCCTTCTCCCCCAGGGTGCTCTGGTTCCGGGAACCTGGGATGGGGTCCCCAGGGCTGTGTGCAGTAGACCCCGAGCCAGCACCAGGTGGTCGATCCCACACGGACCACCTCCTGCAGAACCAGCCCAGGGGGAGGGGCTGATTCTTCCATCAGATCCCTGCTTCAGAAACTTTGGAGATAATTGCCCCTGGCTCTGCCTTTGACCTCGAGTATTTCTCTGGCTGTTGATTAGGGAGGCGGATAACTCAGAGGAGTCCGTCTTTTTCTCGTGTCCCAGGTGGCATTTTGCATTCGGCCAACTCCGACATCCTGTCAGGGAAAGTATGGCTTCCTGGAGCATGGGAGAGAAAGCCTGTGACTCTGAGATTAGTTCATTGTCATGGGCTTTATGGAAACTAGCTGTAACTCGTCATTCAATGATTTTGCCCAGAACTCGCCCCCATTAGGGTTCAGTGTCATTCTGAGGCGTCAGACACAGGGACTTTGTAACAGAGCATCCAGATGTGGCTTCTTCAACTCCATAGTTGTCAGACTCCCATTCAGCTCAGTCTCTGACAGTTCTGAGCAAGGGTGGTTCTATGTTTTAGTTGCAGTTTTTATGTGGTTGTGGGAGGAGGTGAGCCAGGTCCGCTCATGCCGCCATCTTGACCAGAAGTCCAGGAGAGATGATTCTTGATTTATGTTCCCTAACGACTGGTTAGCTGGCATGTCTTTTTCAGCAATGTCTCCGCAGAGGCTCACGTGGAACCTCTGTCTGCTACGCGCCTATATCAGTCGTGCCCCGGCATTGCGGCTTTGCTGAAAACGCCGAAGCAGCATTCTCATGACATTTGGGAGCTGTCCTTAAAGACTCGAATGACAGTGAGGTTCCTCTCCCAATGGGCTCTCGTGGGCCTAACCCCATGCGGTCACGCGCGCTGCCTCCCCCGGGTGTGCAGCCGCTTCTTTGGTGGGTTCGGGGCTCCACTCCGCCCCTCAGAAGAGGCAGAGCACTGAGGGCGCCTCAGCCCCGGGGGGACCCCAGATTCAAGTGTCATCTTCCGTTTCTTCTGGGTGGCATTTGTACAACAGCATAATCTGATGTTTTTAAGTCAGTGTGGCCTTAACGCTGGCTTGTCACGAGCAGTTGCAAGAAGCATGCCGCTCGTAAGTGTTGACTTTCAGCCGCTTCCTCCCATTCAGTGACACTGGCCGGACCCTGCACGTGGGCACCAAGGGAGGCCGGGCTTCCGCCTCAGTCATCTTACGCTGCACGTGTGTGCATGTGTGGGCGTGTGGGCATGTGTGTGCATGTGCAGAGTGGGGGGAGGTGCTTCAAGATAGACCCAGTTTTTAAAACCCTTAAATTGCAAGTGATGAGCAATGGCCTTGGGGACCTGAGTGCTCGTCAGGTCCCCTCTAGGGTTGCTGCCCTTTGGTGCCCAGCATGTGACCTGAGGGAGTGAATCCACCTGAGAGCTCTTACCTCCTGCCAGGGCTGCAAGCGCTGTAGGTGTGCAGTCGGCTGAGACTGACCTTGGTGGGGACCAGTGACTCGGAGGAGCTTCTGTCACTGAGGCAACAGTGGGTTCTGATCGCCTGGACTTGGACCCCCAGGAAATAAGGATTAAAACGCCACTCGGGGGTATCATGGAAATGCTAGGTGATCCCTCAAGAGCATTAGGGATCGATCAGACTTGGGTAAGCCCTCTTTATGATACGGTTTTTATGGGAAATGCACTCCTGAGTTCCACCTCTAAGCCAAGAAGCTCTGTGTACTCCCTAAA